GGGGGGGGGGGGGGGGGGGTGCAGGCCTCTGAGCTGGAGGTGAGTTAGAGGAAGGAGAGCAGCGGCTCACAGTTGAGATCTCGTAAGTTTTTAATGTAACACAGTTTTGGTTCATTATGAACCAGGATAAATTAGAATATGGCGCCGCCACAGGTGACAGGAAGCACTGCTCTGACATCACAGACATTGATGATGTGTTTTCATGAGGAGACTGTTGGTGACTGAACGTTTCTCTCTTTATCTGACGCTCGTGTTTCCTGTCTTACAGAATCGCTCCAGTGATGTCGTCGCGTCCGCAGATCTGACAGATCAGGTAAGATCTTCTGATGCCGAGTTGAGCCTCTGCTGTGTGTCACATGACCGAGGACTGATCTGTGCCTGAGAGTCGTACCTCGGGGCGAGAAAGTCCTCAAGGAGTTTCTGTGGATAAAAACCAAAGAGACGCTTTAACTCCAGAGTCGGACGTGACGTAGAGAACGAGGCTGTCGAAGCCGTCCCACCAGATCAGTGTGTTTTAAAGCTGCTGCTCCACAAACATGATTCAGCCTCGTCTCATGATTGACTGGTCCTGTGGAGACGCAGCCTCAGCTCCTCGTTAACATTCAGACGTGAAACACAACCAGTGAGAGAATCACCAGGTCGGGACTTCAGTGTTTTACTGTTTGAGTCTCTGACGTCAGTTTGACCTCAGGAGGCGCCGGGCTCCAACCCTCTGACTCTTTTATATATTTGTGAGGACCAGTGAGAGTTTGTTCTCTCAAACATCTGGAACATGAAGAGATCTAAAGCACACGCTGAGATTACAGAGAGAGAAATGTCTGGATGTGGTTTTTAACCGGGTCTGTTTGTTTTTTCTCATTATTAAATTCATCTTTATCTGATTTGTCCAATTCCACGTCCATTTTAAAATACAGCTGCGAGCGTTCAGAGTCTGTTTCATTTCGGACCTTCTGCCGACTATAAATAAATCTGTCTGTTCCATAAACCTGTCGTAGAACATGAGGTGGTGTAGAACGTTCTCCTGTGGTTCTCCTCAATCCTGTGACGTCTTTGTGAAGCAGCCGAGAACGCTCGTCTCTGATTGGCTGCTCTCGTGTTTTTGTTCCATTTTTATGTCCTAAGTTTTTAATCTTTCTATTGTTGTTGTTCTTCTTCTCTTTCACTTCATCCCTCTCTCCCTTCACTTTCCTCTCACTCTCTCCATCCTTCTGCATCTTTTCCGTTTCTGTCTCTTCTCTTCCTCCTGTTCCGTCTCTCCGTCTTTCTTTTAAATCAACTTCACTGTCGTCTTCTCTCTCTCTCTCTCTCTCTCTCTTTAGTTTTTCCTTCTCTTTTTATCTCTCTCTCTCGCGGCTCAGCTGCCAATTAGTGTGTAAAGTGCAGCAGCTCAAACGGTGCCGCTCGTCTTCATCCAGTAAAAAGAGTCGGAGCAGAAATCAGATGGATTTGGGTCATCGGCTCCGTCAGCCTCACAGATCCTCACTTTTTGTTTCCCTGAATTTGTCGTCGTCGCTGAAAAAAAAAAAAACCAATCAAAAAGGTCTTTTATGGACGTGTTGTTGATCTTTTCCAGATTTATTCAAGATATTCTGACAAAGCGATGAGGTCATAATATTTCATGTTACTTTGAGAAGTTGGACGGATAAAAAAAAAGGAAATAAATCTCCACACTTGAAGCTAAAGGGCGTATTGGGGCCGCGCAGGATGGGATTATCTTTTCAAAGGGCAGAGCAGTGTGGGACTTCTAGCTCAGCATTTGAGAAGTCACGCATCAAAACGAAACTTCAGTCTTTTTCCAGCTGCTGTTTCTCCGTCGCTGAGTTCAAGCACATCGCTGAGATTTGACTCCTCTGCTTCCTTCACTTCGCTGGTTTGATTCCGACATGTTACCTGAACCGTCAGCTGAGGTCACGGGGTCAAGTGAAGGGGCCGCGGTGCAGCATGAGCTCATTTCCTGCCGCTCTGCGTGACCGGCTGAGACAGGGCAGTGCACGTGTGACAGAGCAGTGCACGTGTGACAGAGCAGTGCACGTGTGACAGAGCAGTGCACGTGTGTGTGCGTCTGTACTCGTGTCCTGTGAGTTCCTGTTGGTTCTTCAGAACGTAAATATGAGTCTCAACCTTTCAACGTTTTATATTTTTAGTTTTATTAAGTTAAACCTTCGAATCTGTTTCGAAACACATGAAACCAAAAATATCAATAATGGACAAAGTCTTTGAGAAGATCTCTGATGAATGTGTGTGCAGCGGGTTAAAGGATCCATCCGTGGCTGTGTCAGGATCTCAGCTGGATAATAATGACCGCTCTGGTTTTGTGGAGCCTCTAATGCAATAAAGGCTCCATTACTTCCTGCCTGTTAGTACCCAGAAGCCCCTGCTCCCACCCCACACGCCTCCATGTTTCTCCTCCATCACGCCAGCTGCTTCCTTTCTTCATCTGCCGTTCTTCTCTTTCAGCGACAATTTCAAAAAACATGTCGCCCCGTGTGAACGCTCACACTCTCAGTGTTTTCCTCCGTTTCCCATGATGCAGCTGGAGAGAGTCGCTGCAGAAGTCAGATCAGAGGTCAGAAAATATAAAAATGGAATAATTAAATTAGATTAAAGATGTTTCCGTCATCTCAGGTCGTTGTTATCTCACTGATGTTTGTTTCTGATCAGTTTGAATTTCGATATGAAAACAGGCGGAGACGTCATGATGTCATAAGGTTTAAGGAACATTTCTTATCTGAAATCTTATCTTGTGTTTCTGGATCGTGGAGTTTGAAGTTTTTTAAAGTGTTTTTTCTTTCTTGTTCTTTTCTCACGTTCTTTGCTGCGTCTCTTTCCGTCTCTCTGTATCCGCCCCACCCTCCACTCCGCCCTCGCTGTAATACGCCGGCGACCAGTGGCCTCATAACGAGGCTGGGATGGAACAGATGATATCTGTGCACACTCAGAGATGAGAGAAGTGGCTCTCGAGCTGAGGAGACGATTGAAAACAACTCTCCTGCGGCACAGAGGGAAAATACGGCTGAATGAGCGCTTGATTTTTACACAGAGAGGGGGAGGCAGGAGGGAGGAGGGCGGTGATTAGACGGGAAGATGTAGAGAGAGCAACACGACTGAAAGACGAGTGTGAGGCTGAACTGACGAATCACATATGTGGATTAAAGTGACGGCAGGAGATTTACAAAGCTTCAGTCACTCAGGAGGAAACTGAGCTGCAGTGAATGAGGTTTGTATTTTCCTGTGGAGACTCGTTACAGTCGTTCACCACCGCTGTGACGTGATGTGATGCATTACTCAGCTGACCTGGTTCAGATCATCGTCCCTCTGTGCTTCAGGCGGCAGCAGATCAATGTTTATCTGGAGGAAGACGTCTGCGTGAATGTGTTTAAAACAATATTCTAGGTGAGAAGAGCTCGGACCAAACCGTCCATTCGATCCGATGCTCATCATCCAACAAATCAGATCAAGAACATGAACGTTAGATTTCAATTCTGGTGAATTTAGAAACAAAGATGAAGCTTCAGTTTGAATTAAAACTCTGATGCTGTGGAGAGACTGAAGACATTTCACAGACAGACAATATTTATTGGACAATATTAAAATCATGATGTTTCAATCTTGTGACCATCAACAGACGCAGTTAGACGAGGCTACACACACACACACACACACACACACACACACACACACACACACACACACACACACACACACAGTGAGTTGATGTAATAGAAATGACTCGTAAACTGACCAGCAGGGGTCAGGTCTAATTTAAGACGTGTGCAGACCAATAAAAACCAGATCCTGTTTGTCTTCTGGCTTCATCAACTCTTCTTCTTCCTCTTTATGATCTGAACACAAATGTTTGGATGATTTAAGACGAACCGGAACATTTTTCTAAGATTGTCTCGTGCACGTTGTCTTTATTATTATTTTACTAATCCTTCGTATCCGATCGGCCTCTTGCAACTTTTAATGTTTCCGTTTATGTTCAACTGACCAAAATAAAATGTGTCGTTGTCGTCAACGCTGCATTCAAACATTCAGACATTCAAACATATCACGTGTGTTCATTCACTCTATTCAAGCTGCACGGAGAATGATTGACAACGATGACACAACTGAAAACTGAATAATCACTTTCTAATAATCAGCTGCTGCTGAACTGAATTCAAATTTCCCAGATGTTATTTTACCGATGCTTCCTGAAGATACCACAAAGATCTGTAAATATATCAAACCAATTCTAACTGAATATAGAAACCACGAGCAGATACTCTGAGTATTACTCTGTCGACCAACCGTCCTGTGAGGAAACAGACAGATGAAGAACCACGACGACCTCCTGACTCCTGCTCTCTGCAGTGAATCACATGGAAACCAGGTCACTGACGGCAGTCGTCTGGTTGTGTCATGTGTGAGTCGATACCCTCAGGTCTCATCGTGTCGTGGCTCTTTGTGCTTCAGTCCGCAGCAGCTGATCTGCATATCCTGTGATGGTATTCAAATATTCTCCGTCTGGCAGAGAGTGACATTTGAATAAAGAGTGAGCGCTCTCCTCTCGGTCTGTGGCTGAGAGACGACACAAATGTCACAGCTGCATATTTAGCATGTGTCTCTGTCCTCCGCACGTTAAATCCAGAAAAACCACTCTGCAGTTGTTTGCCTCCAACAACCAGGGAGGCTTCAGATACTTTCCATTCTCACATCACATCTTTGATTTAAATGGAATTTGATAAATATTACTGTGGACAGAGCGGAAGACCTTTGACCTTTGACCCCTCACATGTAATCAGTTCATCATGATGTCATCATGAGTCCACGAGAACATTTGAGCCAAATCTGATAATAAATAACTAAAACACATTCACAGGGCGATCACTGTGACCTCGACCTTTGACCTTCGAACACCAAAGTCAAACGAATTCATCCGTGAGTCCAACAGAACGTTTGTGTTTAGTTTCAAGACGTTAGATTATTAATAATAATGAATTATATCTTATTAGATTGGTTGAACTCTGCTGTTGGTGCTGCTGGTTGTTTTTTTCAGTTTCTGGCTCGTCCACTGTTTATTAATTTCTCTGCACAGCGTTAATCCTCTGTTCACACACGTGTTCATATACACACTGTGTGCATGTGTGAACAGTAAATAAAGGACGTGCACATGAAAGATTAATGCAGGGAAACTGGGTCACTGCAGAACAAACACAAACAACAATACAAATAATGATTTATT